TGAAGGCATATCATATGGACATATGATATTACAAAATGGTTGAGATAACTGTGAATACAAATGACTAAAATGATTTGATTGATTTGTTTTTTATCCTCAAATTCTAAAATAAATATCAGTAGTAATTTCCCAGATTTCCTTCAAAATCCAAAAGCTTTATTTATTCAAAACAAATCCTTTGCTCCACGAAACTAATCACTTTTGTTTCTTGTCGCTTTCTTTTGCGCTATCAATTTTCTGACATTAGTCAATTAATTTAATTAATTACAAGTAGGCGATTAAACAGTATTGGTTAGACACAGTTGCATCACGCAAAAAAAAAAAAAAAAAAGAGTAAATAGATCTGGAATAAATAATGCAATAAAATTGAAAAGGTCAAATATATATCACATGGCGATTCCTTAACAGGTGCAATGAGTGACATCGCAGCGACAAAAAAATAAAATTAATTCGGTTGGTAAAACTTTTGGGATATCTGTTAACATAAATGATCGAAGTGAGAATTATGGTTTTAAGAATATTTCAGTCAGTGCAAATAGTTTAAACAATTGTGATATTGTATGTACCTCTTCAAATCTCTTGCTGATTTTCATCTGTAATACTTTGTTGATTGCCGAATAAATATTTAGTCACTCTCTGATATATGTTTGACGCTCTGTCGTAGATCGCATAATTAAACAAATTTATAAAATGATATGTTGTGATTAAGAAGATTCGTTCCCAAAAATTTATTTTCATTTCATTTATTCAATAGTCGAATTCAATAATCGGAGGAATACATATGAGCAATTCCATTTCATTACTAATGTAGTCATAGCGATACTATTATTCAAATTTTTCGTGCATAGCATGCAAATGAAACCATTAGATGAAGTTAACATTAAAAAACATATTTGCAAGAATAACAAAGAAGAAAAAGATATTAGTATGCATATAGGATCAAAGAACAAATAATAATTTGTCATAAAAAATTAGTAAATATTCAACAATAACAGAATTAGCAGAGTGCATTTCATCCGTTTAAAGTGCTCAAGCTTTAATGATTCTTCATATGCAATTTCAATCTGCATTTAGCCTGAAAATCTTTACTGCTTATCATACAGTGATAAGTCTATTATTCATTTGATGAGTTACCATGTGAGTCTGCAAATGGTGTTTATGCATGAAACCTTTCCTGCATATCGGACAACTATACGGTTTTTCACCAGTATGAATCATCATATGTGCTTTCATACTGCTGGACTGAGTGAAATTCTTTTTGCATATGGAACAACTGTACGGCTTCTCACCAGTATGAACCACCATATGTGCTTTCATACTGCTGGACTGAGTGAAATTCTTTTTGCATATGGAACAACTGTACGGCTTCTCACCAGTATGAACCACCATATGTGCTTTCATACTGCTGGACTGAGTGAAATTCTTTTTGCATATGGAACAACTGTACGACTTCTCACCAGTATGAACCACCATATGTGCTTTCATACTGCTGGACTGAGTGAAATTCTTTTTGCATATGGAACAACTGTACGGCTTTTCACCAGTATGAGTCGTCATATGCCTTTTCATATTACAGAGATCACCGAAATTCTTTTTGCATATGGAACAACTGTACGGCTTCTCACCGGTATGAATCACCATATGTGCTTTCATACTGTCGGATCGACTGAAATTCTGTTTGCATATCGAACAACAGTAAGGCTTTTCACCGGTATGAATCACCATATGTGCTTTCATACTGTCGGACCGACTGAAATTCTTTTTGCATATCGAACAACTGTACAGCTTTTCACCAGTATGAGTCATCATATGTTTTTGATTATGCCCGAATTGAGTGAAATTTCTCTTGCATACTGGACAACTATACGGCTTTTCACCGGTATGAGTCATCACATGTTTTTTCATATGTGTTATTTCCTTTTGACATATATCACAACGCCGTTTCTTTCCTGTGCTTTCTTTTTCTGGTTCAATTACTTCCGTCAGTTTTTCGATTGGAACAAGTCGTCGCGGTTTAATTCGTTCATCACTCACTCTTTTCACTGATAAGCCTTGCGATTTATTTCCTTCCTCTTTCACTTTTGATATTGATAAATCCAACGGTTCTGTTTGTTCCGTTTGCGCTACCTTAAATGATATGAAATTATCAATGAAAAATCACTGTGAAAAATTTAAATGCCGATGGTATTGTGGTGTTATGTTGCTTTTTTTTTTTTTTTAACTTTATGTGGACTTACTGGGTTTCGAATATTGCTCAATTGGAAGACAAAGAAGAATAAATAGATGAAATGCATGTCAATGAGAATAATTTGTTGCCAATTCTAAAAAACATTCAAATTTATTGACGGTTGCTTCTAAAGAATAATATCGCTGCTATTTGACAAATGCGCAAAGGAGATATTTCTTCAAGTAAATGCTTATACTAAATATATTAGTTTATTTACAATTTTATCATCTAATTCCAAACTCAAAAGTTTGAAAAGAGGTAACGTCTTCTGTCGAAATGAATGAAACAGAACTTGCTGAATGAAAATTGTAGGAGAGTGTGACAGAGGCCAACCGATCAATTCTGTTAGATATTCGATAATCGCATGTATATTCGATAATCGCATGTATAAGTTCTCATTCAGATGGGGGTGGCAAACTACGTGTATTGATAACTTACGTCTACGTATAATAACGTATGTATAGCAATAATAATAGAATATATAATAATGTATAATAAAATGATAATAGCACTACTGCTTAATCCTTTATACTGAATCATTTCTTTTCAGCTTCTGTATTTTATTGTTATAAATAATTTATGCAAAGCAGTTGTGACACTTTTTGTAATTTTATTATATTTCGCTTCAATTTTTCCACATTTTCAAATTTTTGGGAATATTGGAAAGAATGGAAAATTACATTGCTGCATCTCTTATAATTGGTAATGTTGATTTATAAATGCTAAATGGTTTCAACTTTAAATTTGCTTTGTGTTGTGTGCAAATTAGGTTATTAAATTTTTTTTACGATTTTCATATTTAACACCATGTGATGTAGATAGCTGTTAAATGAATTCTTATTGATGATTTCCAATACTTTTAAACTTTTCAAATGCCAATTGCAATGAAAATATGAAGAAAAAAGGCGATGGTAATGATCCTATCATTTACTGACAGTAATCAGCAACGTTGCACAATGTGTGGTTGGTACAACTTAAGTGCTGAACTTGAAGGTATAAGTTCGCCATCTATGGGCTATGTAACAAATGGAGTTGCCTAATGGCTTCATACGACAAGTTCGAACTGGAATTATCTGCAATTTCTCATTGTAGAATTTAAGAAGGACAGGTTTCAATTTGTTCTTATAAGCAAGGATGTGAGACCATCGTTATTAATTGATCTTCACTGATTTTTTTTATTTATTTAGCAATAGCTACTTTTTTTTTCTTTTCTTGTTTCGTGATTGTTGAAGTAAAGCAAAAGATAAAAAAGTTCTTTTTACACAGTAAATAAGCCAAGTTGAACATATGTAAATGATGTCTAAATGATGTAACAAAGTGAGTGAGAAAAACAAAACTGACATAACAAGTAAATGAATCAGTTGTTCTACTTTTCAAATATTTTTATCATTTAAAATATTTGTTAATATGAATATTAACAAATTTTTTTCCTTTGTATCTATGCCATTCTCAAAATTATAAATACAGTGGTAGCTGCTAATTAATCAAATAGAAAATTTGTTTTTTTTACTAAATTAACCATGCGATGGACAGAAATTTTCTCTTTCAACGATTTCTCTCTTATAAATATTGTTTTCATTAAAAAAAAAAAAAAAAAAAATGATGTTAAAACTGATAAATGAGCAAAATTAGTATTAAATATTTTCCTTTCATTTATGAATAATAAAAAAAAAAAAAAAAAAAACAGTTTCAGTCGTTTTTGTTTCCTTCTGTAATTATAAACTGCTATTATCTTACTGTCGAACGGAAGCTTCAAACACTATGATTTTAAAGCAATAATTCTAGCATTATCTTTTAGTGCTTTTTTTATTCCATCACCTGGATTTTTCGAATTACTCGAATACCGTTAGTATCAGACGTTTTTTTTTTTTTTTTTTTTTTTTTTTTTTTTTTCAATGAAGTTAACAATAGTTAGCTATTAAAAATTCCTAAAATAATGATTAATAATTAATCATTATGGTTACATGAAAGTTTCTCTCCGTTGCCTTCTTTCTTTTCCGCTATCAATTTTCTGAGATCTGCCAATATTTTAATTAATTACGAACTATTAAACAAATTTGCTTCTCACAATTCCAGCATGTAAAAAAATAAATTATAGAAATTGGAAAAAATAAAGTGATTAAATTCAAAAGATTAAAACAAATCAAATATACGGCACATTGTGATTTAATGACATCACACCGACAAAAAAAGTTAATAGGCTGATAAAACTTTGCCAAAAGTGTTGACATAATTCATCAAAGTGAAAGCTAATGGTTCTAAAAATAATTCGATCAGCACGAATAATTAGACAGATATTGTATATGTTTTCTGAAAATTTCTTGTTGATTTTTAACTGTAATACTTTATTAATAGCCGATTAAATATTTAGTCACTCGCTGATATAAGTTTGACGCTCTGTTGTAAACCGCATAACCAAACAACTTTATGAAATGATATGTTGTGTTTAAGAAGATTCTTTTCTTTCCCAAAAATTGATTTTCATTTTATTTATGCAATAATCGGGAGAGGAATACATATGAGCAATTCCATTTCATAAGTAATTTAAAAATAGCGATATTTATTCGCAAGTTCTTCGTACACAGCATGCAAGATTACTTGTGTAGATTACTTGTTACTTGTAAAGAAAAACGCTGCAAGAACAAAAAACAGGGACGAAAAACGACATAAATGTGCATATAAGATCAAACAAAAGAAATAGCTAACAACAGAGAATGTAAATAATAAAATAGAAATAGCAGAGAGCATTTCTTTTGTTTAAAGTACGCGAAATTTAATGATTCTTCATGTGCGATTTCAAGCCGGATTTAGCCTGAAAATCTTTACTGCATACAGTATAGTGGTAGACAGGTCTATTCATTTCATGAGTTGCCATGTGAGACTGCAAATGGTGTTTATGTATGAAACCTTTTCTGCATATCAAACAACTATACGGCTTTTCACCCGTATGAATCATCATATGTGATTTCATACTGTCAGACCGAGTGAAATTCTTTTTGCATATCGAACAACTGTACGGCTTTTCACCAGCATGAATCGTCATATGTCTTTTCATATTACGGAGATCACCAAAATTCCTTTTGCATATCGAACAACAGTAAGGCTTTTCACCGGTATGAATCACCATATGTGCTTTCATACTGTTGGACCGACTGAAATTCTTTTTGCATATCGAACAACTGTACAGCTTTTCACCAGTATGAGTCATCATATGTTTTTGATTATGCCCGAATTGAGTGAAATTTCTCTTGCATACTGGACAACTATACGGCTTTTCACCGGTATGAGTCATCACATGTTTTTTCATATGTGTTATTTCCTTTTGACATATATCACAACGCCGTTTCTTTCCTGTGCTTTCTTTTTCTGGTTCAATTACTTCCGTCAGTTTTTCGATTGGAACAAGTCGTCGCGGTTTAATTCGTTCATCACTCACTCTTTTCACTGATAAGCCTTGCGATTTATTTCCTTCCTCTTTCACTTTTGATATTGATAAATCCAACGGTTCTGTTTGTTCCGTTTGCGCTACCTTAAATGATATGAAATTATCAATGAAAAATCACTGTGAAAAATTTAAATGCCGATGGTATTGTGGTGTTATGTTGCTTTTTTTTTTTTTTTAACTTTATGTGGACTTACTGGGTTTCGAATATTGCTCAATTGGAAGACAAAGAAGAATAAATAGATGAAATGCATGTCAATGAGAATAATTTGTTGCCAATTCTAAAAAACATTCAAATTTATTGACGGTTGCTTCTAAAGAATAATATCGCTGCTATTTGACAAATGCGCAAAGGAGATATTTCTTCAAGTAAATGCTTATACTAAATATATTAGTTTATTTACAAATTTATCATCTAATTCCAAACTCAAAAGTTTGAAAAGAGGTAACGTCTTCTGTCGAAATGAATGAAACAGAACTTGCTGAATGAAAATTGTAGGAGAGTGTGACAGAGGCCAACCGATCAATTCTGTTAGATATTGTTCGATAATCGCATGTATAAGTTCTCATTCAGATGGGGGTGGCAAACTACGTGTATTGATAACTTACGTCTACGTATAATAACGTATGTATAGCAATAATAATAGAATATATAATAATGTATAATAAAATGATAATAGCACTACTGCTTAATCCTTTATACTGAATCATTTCTTTTCAGCTTCTGTATTTTATTGTTATAAATAATTTATGCAAAGCAGTTGTGACACTTTTTGTAATTTTATTATATTTCGCTTCAATTTTTCCACATTTTCAAATTTTTGGGAATATTGGAAAGAATGGAAAATTACATTGCTGCATCTCTTATAATTGGTAATGTTGATTTATAAATGCTAAATGGTTTCAACTTTAAATTTGCTTTGTGTTGTGTGCAAATTAGGTTATTAAATTTTTTTTACGATTTTCATATTTAACACCATGTGATGTAGATAGCTGTCAAATGAATTCTTATTGATGATTTCCAATACTTTTAAACTTTTCAAATGCCAATTGCAATGAAAATATGAAGAAAAAAGGCGATGGTAATGATCCTATCATTTACTGACAGTAATCAGCAACGTTGCACAATGTGTGGTTGGTATAACTTAAATGCTGAACGGAAAACCATCAGTTTGACATCTAATAGCTGTGTAACCGATAGGGTTGCCTAATGGCTTCACACGGTATGCTTGGACTGGAATTATCTGCAATTCCAGACAGTTAAACTTAAGGACAGGCTTCAATTTTTTCCTAAAAGATGTGACAAGATGTAATTTATACATTTTTAATATACGTCCTTTTCGTTTTTTTTTTTTTTTTTTAATTGAAATTTAAATAAATTCAAATGACTTGCAAAATAGTGGAAGGAAGATATTAACAGTTGTTTATAAGTCAGGATCATTTTGACAAATTCAAACCTTGATTTAACATTGTCCAAGTCGATTTATGTTAAATATAGGAATTCATCATCCAAATGAGCACATGGAAGGTAAAACAAATCACTTGCTGAACTGCGTATAAGAAAATGCTTTTAATGATTCATCTTTAATCCACTTTCTTATATTGAATACCCGCATAATGCGGAATTCACTTTGCTTGTTTCTGAATTTGATTTTCAAATATATTTAATGGTAATCATTTTATTCACAATAATTTGCTACCTTACAGTCAATTTCTTTATTTATTCGAATAATGAACTATTCGCTATCAATGATTGAATAAGTTAATAACTAAAAATGATATATAATGCAATCAACTGAAATCCACCTGAAGTATTTTTGACCAATTATACCAAATTGCCACAGTCAATGAATAGACGATTTAGCAAACTTTTTAAAAATGAATAATTCATCTATCATTTAATGCCTAATGAGCAAACATTTAAGATACTAAAAATCTATTCCAAAAAAACAAAAAGACGATGAAAAAGTTTATGAACTTCTGATTTCAGGATAGACAAATTGAAGATGTAAAGGAAAAATTTATCCAAATGAGAAAGGCTTGTCAAACAAGGGTAAAAAAAATTGAAATAACCTTCGAGCATATTCCAAATCATATCCAACCGATTCATGAAGTGCAGACATCTACATTTTTTTTTATTTTTATTAATTTCTTAAGAATTATCCAATTTAATCTGATAAAAAAACAAAGTAAAGAGATTTATTTGGACAGCAAAATGTTCATCTTTAATAAAGAATACGACTGGATAACTCAGTAGCGCTACATTTCTTAGTAACAAATAAATTCAATTTGATTACTGATTTCAACTGTTATTTGTTATTAAAAAGTGTTCTCATCTCAAACCTTATTTTAAATTCTTTTTTTTAGAAAAATCTTCCATTCTCGTATTTACATAACATCTTACATTTCACTTCCTTCTTTTACGTTAATCTGAACTCAAATAATCAGGAACCTAGAAATAGAAATATCCGAGAAGCTATTGCTTGCTCTAACGGATGACAGGACTATGCTTCAACTAGAAATAAATTGCAAAATGAAATTGGTTAATTTTGATCAATTTTTCAGTTCCAATTTTTTGCATATTTTCAATATTGAATGCCATGAGTAAAGAAAACAAAGAATAGTAACTTCAAAATTTTCGTTGATTTAATCCATAAAATTGTTAATTTGAGTATAAAAATTTCCAAAATATATTTCATATACTTTCTCTGAAAAAAAGCTTCGTTTTAATACTGAAATTAAGGATTGCAGTGAAGCGAATTGTATCTTTATAATTTTGATGCTTTTTAGAACAGTTGCCAGCAATGCCAAATCTACCGGAAACCAGAATAAAACCTTCGAACAAGTTGGTTTAGATTACTTGAGTCCTCTTCTAATTAAATCTAGTTAAAAGATGGTCGCTCTTTTTACATGTTTTATTACCAGAGCAGTACATCTTGAAACGACAGAAAACTTATCCGCCGAAAATTTTTTGCATATTTTTCGAAAATTAATTGCTTAACGAAACTAGTCCTAAGCGATAACGCCATCATTTCCAACTTTTATTCAAGATTATTATGAAAAAAAAAAAAAACGCTTATTTTTTGGCAGCAAAGGGCATGATATGGAAGAAAATAGAAAGAAAACTTTTAAAAGAAAGAGAATTGATAACGCTAATAGCAAAGATAAGGAATGCTTAATATCCGAGCATTAACTTACATAGGCTTTGATGAATAGAGTCATAGGCTCAATCGATTTCATTTCACCTATTGCTTCATTAATATATATTATAATCCTGGCTACGGAACATAATTCCTTACCGGAAATTAATTCAATTCTGAACAAGTTTTGGAAAAGTAATCTACTCCTATGCTACATTTGGGTATGCGCTAAGAGAATATAAATAGTCTCATTGCATACCGCCGCTGGGCCACTGACGCATTAGTGCTTTACGTAACTTCGGTAGTCCTATGCTAACCAATTATGATATTATTAATCAAGAGAATATGCTTCTTATACATTAAGGATTAAGGACAAACTAGTCAAATAGTGGACCAGTACTCTTATCACATTAGAGTTTTTTTGGAATTTGTGAAAAGAATACCTTACATATCTTAGAGAAGAACATAGACAAAAAGAACTAATCTCTCGTAGATTGGTAAAAAAAAATCTCGTAAAAAAAAAAAAAAAAAAAAAAAGGAATTTCACGTGAAAATGAAATAGTTTTATTAAATGAACCCTCGTCGTATGTGTAAATTAGCAAAGATAGTAAAAATTAACCGAGAATAGGATAGAAGAATAAAAAGTGCAGCAATACAAATACTTAATGGAAAACAGTTTGATCGGTCAATAACTATGCTTTGTCCTATGGAAATAGATGGTTCCGAGAACGTAAAAAATAAATGGAAGGAACGTTTAGAGAGACGAACCAGAAGTGTCAAAAACTACAAATTGTATCGAGTCAAAGAATAAGTCAAATTTTACGATTTTACGAAAATTTTATTATTAATAATAATTGTACAGATTATAGTAATAAATAATTGTATTGAATTTTCGGAAGACTGTTTAATTTTCAATTTTTAAAACTTTAAATTAATTGAAGCTTGCTTTGAATGATTTCTTTTAATCCAACATTTTTATAGCTTTCCATATGTATTCGATGTTTTCATATCTCTTTGAAACAGTCGTGTTATGGAATATTCTGAACTGTGTCGCTTTCTGCAAAAGATATTACCGCCTGTAACTGCAGCTCAGTGCATAAGAACTCAAAATTTGATTTGAAATGTTCATTATTATTTCCACAAGAAAATTCTGTCATTCTTGTTGACTGCATATTTTTTCCTAAGCCTTACTTATTAAGCTTATCAATTTGATATGTCTATTAGGTAAATTAGCATTTTCATTCTGATTTTAAACTTGAACTGATTTTAAACTCAAAATTATAAACTCGAACTTTTGTTGTAGAATTCATATATGTGGGTGAAAAAGTCTGATGCTATATTTACCATTCATTATTCACCTGTGTTTTTCTTTTATTACATTTCCGCCAGACAAAGGAAGCCTTGAGATTTCTTATTCACATGAGCGCCCGTTGGAAGGTTTTAACATTGTGCTCTCACTGTTTGTTTTTTTTTCTTATTTCCTATCTGCTTCACGTAATTTTTTTTTTTTTTTTTCAATTAATTATGGAATAAAGCAAAAGAGATGTGTCGTTTACACAACTAACAAATCTAAAACTTCGCTTTGAGAAGAAATATCAGTACAATAAGCTTATTGCTATTAAATTTTGTCAACTGAAAATTGATTTCAATAGAAGTGATATGGATAGAGTTATTCGAATAACAAAATACCTTTTTAAATGACATTTTCATTTTGCTACGTTTTTATTATTCTGAAGTTAATAAATTAATTCTAAAAAATTTAATTACACTGAAATCATAAATAAGTCTGTCACTATTAAATGTTGTACTAACTTTTTTCTACTGCTGATAAATTTTGAAGTTTTTGAGAACACGAGGACTTTGATCTTTTATTTTTAACATATGGACAAATAAATGCCTAGAAAGTTTAGTTGCAAATCAATGGCCTGAAATATCATTTTTTTTTATTAGATTGCGTCGAATTTTAGTTTTAAAAAAAATTGATTAGCCCACAAATATTTCATGCAAGCTTTTCAAACTGAAAAAGATTGGATAAAATTTTCGTTTAATTGTGTGAGCAGCTGAATAATTTCAGTTTGCCATGCTCATTTTAATTTAATAAACTATACGATAGAGAGAAAGTTGGATCATTTTGTGTTAGAAAGATCATTTTTGATGTAATCTGCTATGATTGTCTTCATACTAATCTTTTCAATTCTAATTTATTTAATTACACGTTTATAAGTAACTAATTCCATCGGTTCATTGCAATTATCAATGCTATAAGTGTTTTCGTGCTTTACAAAAAAGTTTAAAATACTGGAGTTCTTTTTTTTGAAAAATTTTTATATTCCTTCTGAATGCTTTTTCACAAATATGCTCTTATTTTTTGTAAAGCACGAAAACTTTTTTTTTCTAAAACAAGTATTATATAGTTTCTCTTTTTTTGAGAAAAAAAAAATTTTGTGAAGTATTGCCATCATTTTCTTGTCTTTACTTAATTTAGGCTTTGTTTATTGATGTTTAATCCAAAGTTGGTTCATCGAGTCTGGGAAATTTCTCGTCAAAACTGCGTTACTTTTGTAGTATCAG